ACACCTCTATTGAGATCGAAGGAGGACGAAAACTTGCCATACACCACTCTGCCGGAGATGTGAAAATACAGTGCGAGTAGGATGGCAGTGTACTTTTCTGGGACATCTTCCTTAGCAAACAACACAAAGTGCAGGTCGAGTAACCGAGTCGAATGCCGCAGAGATGTCCGGGAAAGCAACAATGGTAGGCCTCTGGTAAGGATGGCGAAGCGTAAATATTTGATCCACGCACCCACGGCCAGGTTCGAGGCCAGCTTGTAGTTGGTGGTACTGTGATTCAACAATGGGAGATAGTTTACGGAGTAGAATGAATGCCAATAGCTTGAAAGCAAACGCAAGGTGACTAGTGCATGTGGTGCCAGCACCCTAGTTAAACATCTAGACAATAACTGATTCGCCCCAGAAAGAAGGTAACTTTTCTTCAGGTCAGCTTTTGGAGAACGATGTAGTTAGCTGGCTAATGACAACGGCGCTTCCGTACTTGAACAACTTAGAAGGACTTCCATCTAAGTCGGCCGCTTTGAATCGTTTCAAGGGTCGAATCGCAACACAAACTTCTGCTTCGCACGGTAGATCAAAGGTGACGATACAGGGCCGGCAGCTAGGCTAGCAGAACAAACGCGTGGACTGTGAGGGACAATTGAACTGGGAATGAAAATGTTCGGCCCATCGGTCAAAGAGTTTCTGTAAGTTGGCAATAGGCGAACCATCCGTTTCGCAGATTGTCTCGCTGACACCAGGTCTTCTGTGTACTGAATGAGCTGGAAGAGCTTGAGAGTACTGCCAGAGGGCGGCGGCCTTCATTTTCGAAGCACGCTGGGACCACTAGGCTTCACGGTCGCTGAGGCCTTATTTGAGCTGCCGACTGACAGAACGGCGCACTTCATCATGATTAGACTCCGCTGGATTAGTACTGCGGCGGTCAAACAGATCCAAAGAGCGCGTGGAGATTCAGGCCTACATAGGGTGCTGAGTAAGACCAGACACTGCCCGGAAGAGATCATGGCCCTCTGCGTGAACGTCCAGTGTTCATCCATATCCTGCAGTGGGTCGCAGCCAAGTGCACTGGACAGGGAAGCTTGAGAGTTCTGCTGAACCGAGACAGTAGATAGCTTATTTGTGTCTACCTTACAGTGCTTCGTTTTCGAGGACCCTCCAAAACACATGCAGAGGTTCGAGCGGACAAGATCACGGCTTGAGTAAAGAAACGTGGACCTGATGGATCTGCAACCTCTTACACTGCTCATTTATCTGAAACTTACTAAGATATGATCAATCTGCGACCATGATTGATACGCAGAAGGGGGTCACCAAGTAGTGGAAAGCTTTCTCGAATGCCGAAAGCTGATGTTCATGAGAAACAGATGCTTATGTTCGCACAGTGTGAGAAGTCTCTTTCCATTATCTGCGGTTTATCGAGCAGATGGTGACCACTGAGGTGACTTTCGCATGATAATAGACGAGCGACCTGGGCGTTGAGATTCCCAGCAAGGACAACGATGTCGGATTTGCAGGCTCTGCTCAAGAGCCTGCAGTCAGTTGAAGCGTAAGCTGAGATCACAATTTGCGTCTCTCCTCCCGACCTGTTTATCTTGTATGATCCCCGAAGCCGAACTGCAGACAGTCGGCTATTAATCGGGAACCAGTACAGCAATGTAGCCTCGGCTTTGCTACTTAGCGCTACACCAACACCAGCCAACCCTGCCGCAGCTACTTCTGTCACTAGATAGACGTAAATGAAATATGGCTCAGTGTTCGGTGGGAGATCTCAACTAAATCACAGTACTGGGATATTGGAAGCGCGTTTCGGAAAGATAGCAAACATCGATGGCGAGGGATTCCAAGGTGTGTGCAAGACCAGCTTGCTTCCCGATCTGCACGAGTGTACGTGCATCGAAGCATGCCAGCCAAAAGAAGAATCGAGGCCGAAGGACTGCGACTGGGTGAGCTCTCGGGGTGTCAACGTAAACATCAGGAGTAACGGATAACAGTGACTGGTAACAAATGAACAGATGGCGTGTGAATGTGTGTGACTAGCAGAAGCAAAAGCAGCTGAGATCGAGATTGTGGATGGACAGTCCATGATTTTGTATCCAGCGATGTATGAGACATCATCCTCGGTCGTTTTTCTGTTGTTTCAATTGCGCAGGAGCTTGGATTGTGGCATCCTCATGTACATCTATCCACACTGGACCTGTGCTGGGAAGGTGGTGAGTGTAGTTGAATCTCGGTTTGAGATGCGACAATACCACTTTTATAACTGTTTGCATTTCGGTGTGTAAGTCACGGGTCAAGTAGATTTCACAGGCAAGTTCTTGTTGGACAAGTTAGTCCCATCTCAGACAAAAAGGTTACTCTTCTCTCCAAGGAGGGATCACTAGAAAGTTCTCGATAAATCTCTTCAGACCTCAGATAAAGGAGAGGTATAAATCGGGAAGAGAACAGATAGACGCAAGCAGACAATAGATGCGGGATGGAAAAGCATTGTAGACAAGGGGGTGACGAAGTGTAACAAGCCCATAAATGTGAAGCGAAGAGAGTGGTTCATCTGCAGATCCTGGTGCGCTTAGGGCTGAGTAGTCTGAGAGCGGTCCGAAAGCACAAGAGAGAGTACATACGAGACTGGATCCATTCTAATGAAGCCCAATGTCATTAGAACGAGAGAGCGAAAGTTCGGTACACAGGGCATCTTGGTAGGCTTGCATGACCGGGTACTGATAACTCAGTCGCCAAACGAGTGAGTCGAATTGTACACTTCCCGGTAAAGTTCATGGAAAAACGACAGCGTGCAGAGACATGATCCGAGTCAACGCAGGTATTCCAAAACGAGTGACAATCAGGGATGGAATTACGCCACCTGTAACTTATGGCAACGTGATCAATGTAAGTCAATTACTGGTCAGCTATAGGTGAACGACAAGCGGTACTTCGGCGCCCACTATGTCTAAAAGCGGTGCTCCGCGCATAGTTGCAATAGACGCTCATCATTGTCAATCTGTTCGGAGCTGAGTCCATACTTACCACGTAGCTGAGCACAGACGACCTACTTTCGCATTCAGATCCCCTATAACGGCAAGGAGATCTGAACAGGTAACCCTACGAATCAACGTGTCCACTTCGTGATAGGTGTCCTTGGCAGCACCAGAACTGCAGTCCGTGGGGGCACAAGCGAAAACCAAAAACAAACAGCGTCTAGGGTTACCTCGTGAATCCACCTTAGTTATGTCATCAAATGGGCCGGAAACAAACGAGGTTTCATAGGAATCCAATCTAGCACCGAGGTGCTAGACTTGAAAGTGAAAATGATGCCCATCCCAGCTTGGTTAGTGGTTTCCGCATTAGCGGCTCCGGATGCATACAACCAATAGCTAGAGCATAAACCAGGTGCGGTTAGTTCAACAATCCCGTGTGGATCATTGATCCTAGTTTCAGATACGTTACACATGTCAACACTGCGTGACCAAGTTGCATGCGAGTGCAGCTTGTTGACCTATTTGCCTTAGAGTGCGAACGTTAAAAGCCACCAGACAAACTGGATAGCGTGGCCTTGTAACGGGCTGCTGTCGATGGGCATCCTGTGGGTGGTGCGGGAAGTTGACTCCAATGACGATGCGGCTGTTGTCAATTAAGCCGGGAATTATGGGTCAGTAATGGGGGTCGGGAGGAAGCAGATGAAAATGAAAGGAGGCGCTAGAGGTAGCATGTTTTCGCTTATCCGCCCTGCTGTAGACAGCAGACAAGGCTACTTTTATGAGCTACGCGACGGCGGATGCAGAATGTGGTTGAATGTTAAGAAATAGTCATGGTTGTACGTGGGTTGAGATACTGCTAGGTTGCCAAAACCTGGGCAGGACGATTAGGGTTCTCAACCGAAAGCCTGCCTGCAAGGCATAAGGGAGGCGGTAATTATGCAGTTTTACAGAAACGAACGCCATCACATTTCCAACCTCCAACCTAGAGACTGTCTGACCTCCAACCATTGATCAAGCTGGTAGAAGTAGCTCTCTCAACGGGCAATGGGCCACCACGCAGTATAGCTAATGGGTTAGAAAGATATGCAAGGCGTCGCACCACATTGAGGTCGTCTCGTTGCAACGGTAGTTTTCAGCCAACGTCGACACACTCCCTTCTAGGCAATTGACTAGCAACCTAACGGTTTTATCCGGTTAAGTGCAATAGCGGCTAATAACACATGCTAAAGCAGCCAAAAACATGCATGTGAAGAAAAGGTTAGCAAAAGGTAGACAGTTCTAATTCAACAAGTAATTCAGCGCAATCCCAGAGACTGTCAATAATAACTAAATGATGCATCTCAGTAGCACTTATTCGATAAGACCAGATATGTACTTCAAGGGTACTAATGAGCAAATCTGAGCAGTCCGGCCGGTGGCTGAAAGCCATCTGCCTAGTAACCTGGACACCATCGCTTAGAGCATGCGCAGGGGATCGAGCGATCGTCGCAGTATCCTTCACCCACGCGCGACGCGGTGGTTGCCTGATAGTGAAGCGTCGGTACGGTGTACCAGCGTATTGCTAGTGTCGCTTTTGAGGCCGCAAGTGCACAGTGGTCTTGATCCACACAAGATATATTGTGGACCTTACAAACAATAAAGAAACGTACATCCTAGCATATCACAAGTCACAGAGGAGCTAAAAGGTCATAGACGTTCGATCGGCTATTGCACTAACCTATACGGCTAGGGGACCAAGTGCACAAGTTTCGGTTTGCCGATGCACACACATGGACTACCTAAAAAGTGACGGATAAGCCGGTAGTGTCAAACCAGTTTCAACAAAAAAGTAAGATGAATAGTAAAGCGTGCATTAGCATGACCAACTCATTCAGTAGCGCCAGTGCAGCAATTGGGTTTGACACACAAGAAGAATTACGATATTCGCGTGAGTTAGAGTATATTAACCAAAGGGATCATTCCGAACGAAAGGGTTAAATGATGTATGATCGTCTCAATCAGATACTCCAATGAAAACGAAACAATAAATCAGCGCAGACGGACCTCGTTCGACGAAGTGAGCTCATGAAGCAGCGTCCATAGACTGGCATACAGTCTAGGTAGTCGCACAATAAGAGTGCTGGAACGGATAAATTTTACTGGCCATTAGTAATATAGAAAAAGCAAACAAAGTAGCACTGGTCACAAAGTGTTGGAAAAATACAACCATTTAATTAACCTTGATCAAACCAAGACTTCCCGATGTGGTAAGTGTCTTACGGGACACAGTTGCACCTCTTCCCAGGCTCGCCTGTCACTGTGACTAAGATCAGCTACAGGAGCCACTATCCGGATACGTCGGTGAATACAAAACATTCACGCGACATCTCTAGCGACTTCACATCGATGAAGTCTATAAGCCACAAGACGGTTACATGAATAGGCAGGATTGTGGGTTAATCGTTGTGGCGCGTGTAATCACAGATGTAACGAAGTGGCTGCCACAATGGAAACTTGGTAGTTGTTTCTATCAGGATTGTCCTACAACGAGTCTTGAATTTCTTTTATTTTGTGGTTAAAGCGGTGCAAATGTTTCTGAATAAAAAAATGCAGGGTAACTCTGAAGGGAATGGAAAAAGCGCACAGCAGCCATTGGAGACTAGAAAACTATGGATTAATGTAGTGAAACGAGGAAAAGGAGCATCAGTACAACGCATTTTAGCAAAAGGAAAAACAGTTAAGTCCCCTCACCAATCCGTAAAGCAGTGCCTCAAAGGATTTACTTCTGCTTTTAGTTCACGTATTGGAGCTTGTATGTCCGCGCTGAAGTTTGCAGGAACATGGAGCGCAGATGAGGCGTAAGTTGAAGGTGCACGGGACAGATCCGGACTGGACGAATCTTCCTTAGGGCAACCCAGCAGAAAATGAGCATCAGTAATAAATTTTTGAAAGGCAGGATAGTAAACTTGTTCAAGAGTTGTCTTTACATATTCTCCAGCGGAATCATAAAGTGAACGATTGATCGGTCCGAGAGAGACCGTGTAGCGAACCTTGTATCCAGTGTGATACAAAGCCATTCGAGTAATTATTTCTGCTCTCACTCGTTCAGGCAACGGTACCTCGAAAAGAGCTCCAGATTTGATATAAGCCCTGTAAATGACCTTTGCGACCTGAAACAACTTATCAGGAGTGTCCAGATTCTCACTACAGCGAAATCCCTTGCATGCGAACCAAAAGTCGAGCAAATGACCAAGGCAAAATTTAGACGAGAGAAAGCGATTGAAGAGCTCCACTCCCGCGGAGTCGCACAGTAACTCATCAACACTGTTCAAAAACCGATTGCCATACCGACATAAACATGACGCATCGCACCAAGTACCAAAATCTGCCGTCAGATGAGGCAAAACATCGCACCGGCTGATACACAATTCAGTCATTCCTCGAAATTAGCGTGTCGGGTTATCGAAGTACGGTAAGGAGCAAGCGGGAAATGATCTGGTATGGGAATCAGTTACTAGTAGATAGTATGCCAAAATAATGGTTGCTAAGTTGAAAAAACAAATCGTAAAATATTTAAGCGGTAAGTAGTGCTTAAAAGCGACACAAGATCAGAATTTTATTATCTTGACACGCACGGGAAGTAACGGAGCTCACAACGGAACTCACTTCTGCACTCTACCAACCAACGAGTCAAGTTCAAGTTCAATTTGGACAGGAACTCTGGGAAAATTCCCATGTGTGCTTCTTCTTCAATATGTCGTTGAACCAAGGTGGTTTCCGGGAGCGGTTTGAAACCAAGAAGCGCCAAAGCAATACACGCGAATCACATCACGGTCAACAAATCAATACCCACGCGACCTGCACTAGCAGCCCCCGTTGTACCGGCCACGTGAATAAGAACAAAGCTGAGAAGGGAATCAACCAAAACAGAATAATGTTAACTGTAGTACAGGGGAGAATGTGTGGATAAGACAATAATAGCACTCGATGTGAGAAGCCAAGGAAATGCATGTAGAAATTAAGAACCAAACGGAAAGGTCTGAAACTGCAACCCAAGGGCGTCCAGTAGACGTTCAAACTACTTCCCCGTTGGTGCTAACACTACTTCGCTAGGTATTGCGTGCCTTGAGTCGACGACCCTGCGTGATAAACGAAAGTCAGCTCTAACGCGATCAGATCTGGGTTTATGGAGCGCCAGATTTGACCACGATGAGATGGTATCTGAGCTGGATGGAACAGACTAGTTAGGTCAGACATAATCTTGCCGGTCAATATACGGTACGTAAGCATCAGAGCTCCCCGAAGACGCCTATAGTGCAGCGAAACCTCCGCAACCTGAGCGGCTTATCAGCCTACGTGAGATGCCTCCATCCTTGAACCAATTTTGTGCCAACTCGTTCAAGTGTCATCTTGTGGCGTACCAAGCATTGGGGAAAAGCCTGCACGCAGTACTCCAAGTATGGCATGACAAAGGCTAAGACCAATATAACAAACATTTCATTTGTTATAATGCCGAATGACCTGCGGATCGTCCACAGCATTCGGAAACCCTTGCGGGTAGCATTTGTCCAGTTCTCGCTGGATTTGAATTCAGAGGATAGCGCGATACCCAAGTTGGTTTGGTCAGTCACTTGACGCAATATATATTCGCCAAGTACGTAGGGAATTGTGGAAGTGTTTGATCCTATGTGCAGGACCGCACACGTGGCAAGGTTGATTGGCAGCTACCACAATTCTGATCACTTCCCAAGCTTGACAAGAGCTGTCTGCAAAGCCACGGGTCCAGCAACATCGCTCACTGTATTCCAAACTTTTATGTCATCCGCAAACATAAGGGATGGCAGCTTAAGCTTCTCAGCCTGGTCACTGACGTATGGTACAAACAGTAGAAGTCCGATAACCGCCCCCTGAGGAACACCACTCAGGACGGCTTGTCTGAAAGACAGCCCACAACCCACACGAACGCGCATCTGCCTACCTTCTAGGAAAGCCAAAATCCCCTTCAATTTTTGGCCTGAAACTCCTTGAGAATCTGGTGTTCACAAAAGGCAGCAATTCTGCACGACGCAAAAGGCTTTAGAAAAGTCGAGGAACAAATCATCCACCTCCTGTCCTTGATCCATAGCCTCAGTCCAGCACGCTCGGGCTGACATGAGTGGCCTCAGCGGAACCCATGTTGTGACGGGTTGAGCAAACTGAACTTAGCCAAGTGCTTCTCCAGTGCTTCTCTAATACTTTCATTAATACACTTGTCAGGCTAACGGGTCTATAATTTTCAATTAGGTGCTTATAACCCTTTTTGAAATTAGGACACACTTTAGCATTTCTCCAGTCAGCAGATAAGGAGAAGCTACGGAGAATTCTCAGGGACCTTTGATCGGTTTACACAGCAACCCAGCCATTTGGTACAAACGTTTTGGATGGAGGGCATCTATCCCCGCAGCTTTCTTTGGATTCAGGTCACAGAGGAGCTTGCGTACCTGCGCTTCTGAGATGGAAATTTTCGTCAGGATGGAAGCTACTGGTATCTTTGCCTGAATTCGATATTAGGCAACGGAGGTTCATGAGCAAACGACCCAGCATACTGTTCCGCAAGTGAGCAAGCCTAGGTCAGAGAGGTTGAAAGATAAGTGCCGTCAGGTCTGAACGGCACAGGGACAGGCGAATTCGAATTGCATGGCCGTTTGACATAACCAAAGCACCTTTTCGGGTTTGTTGATGCGGACCTAGTCATCGCTAGTTCATGCCTCATGCTTGCGGTTTGCAGCTGTTGTTTACATGCATTTCGGACGCCTCGGTAGCGGTGATAGGTATTTTCTGAGGAAGGAGATACCTAAGTCCCCCAATACCTAGATCTCCTACTCAGCATCCTACGGCCCTCAGAGTCAAACCCACTAGGCTTTGCCTCCACTTTTTCCTTGCTGAGATTGAAATGTGGGGAAGGGAAATCTCGCCAAGAAAGGATTTTAACTTGTCCCAAGCAACCTGGAGGTATTAATCTCTGAAAGGATATTGGGTTGCTTTGCTGTCTTGTTCCTGATGGCCTGAAGATCATCGCGCCCGATATTTGGCATCCTGATACTACACACTTCACGGCTCCGCCTTAATGCGCGGTAGAATAATAGGCAAACGTGCTCACTAGATTCCACGGGGAAGCGTACACCACATCTCGTACAAAATCCATCGATTTCGCGAAGTTGAGGTCAAAAATGGACGGCTTTCGGTCCTCCATAAACCCAGCGCGCCGTTGTACAAACTGATGAATGGATGCTTGTAAGGATGGGTGAAGAAGCTTTTTAGATATACGTCCAAATGCTGCGGTTCAGAAATTGCTCTAATCAACCTCAGGAATATTCAAAACACCCATAAGGAGACATCTATTTTTGTATGACTACGAATGATATAGCCAGGTCACCACATTTCCTTGTCCAGGATGTCGGAGAACAGTCGCGTCTCGGTGAAAGCAAGTACGTCTGGCAGGGAGCTTTCTACAAAAGTGCCAACCTCGCACATCTTGCTCCACAGACTACGCAGGTTGCTGAGGATTACGTTAAGGAAACTGGGATCGTAAGTCGGCGTCTGGGTGCCACCAGAACTGGCTCTGGAAAGGCGGAAGTAGCCCTCCGGCTCACCACCCGAAAACCCAACAATCGAAGACCCGTTTAACCCGCCTGGCGACGGGCTTTGCGGCTCTTTATGACGGTCCTCACTTTCAACCTATCAGCCAATGGGAGGTCAGGTTGAAAACTGACCCCAGAACCCTTAAGTTTAAAATCGAAACGCAGCACCGTATGACTCTCGTCCGGTGTTGAAACAAACTAGTTTCGGAGTTTGACGGGGTATGACGTCCGAAACATCGAGCGGCACAGACCCAAGCCTAACGAGTTTGCGTACAGTTACTCCAGGAAACCTGGACGGTAGCAGTTTGGGAAAGCAAATCTTAAACCATTTTTATGTCATCACGCATAGGCTCCTTTGGAAGAGCGGCGCTAGACTCCGTGACATGCCTAACGATGACACTGCTATCAGTGTAAGCATCACTGCGGTGGCGGTGCATACTCCACGCGCCACAGTCGCAGAAGCCTGCGACTGGCTGGCTGGTAGCTTGGATGCAATAGCTCCGTAGGAAGAGGCTTTGGGAAGAGACGCCGAAGAACTCAATACTGAAGGCTTTGTAAACCACGTGCTTACCTGGTCCTCTGTACAATCCGATACTACCGCAAGGTGTAAGTTTACAGCTTTCTTCTTCTGGCTCCGCTTACGTTTTGCTGGCATGGTCTGCACTATTTCGTTAGTAGTTGTGGAGTCACGTACTTTTTCCAACTGGTTAGCGCCAACCAGCTAACAAGCTGTTGCTGCATAGGGGGTTAGGTCGACGAAATCCGTTTGCTTGCTACTATCCGCTAATTTTACCTGACCGACAACAACGGATGATGTCAGGCGATCTACTAGACCTTCAACTTTCCGATACAAAGTTGCTAACAGCAAAGACAACACTTTTTCCATGTTTGTCAGTCTGGAAACTAGCGAATCGGATCAATCGTTCGTGGTTACGCAGCGCTGAGCTGTAAGCTTAAAACAACCTTCACAGCAATAAAGTAACATCTCATAGCTTGCCAAGCGAACATACTGACCATATCGGATTTTTGCACATTCTTGATCATGCATCATTATGTCAAAATGATCATGTCTGTAAAGGCGTGCCTCACCTTGTTGAGAATGAAAGATTTATTTATTTAACCGGAAATTAACCTTATTGTCGCAGTTAGTCTCGGCAGAACGCGAGAAGACTGCCAAGTTTCTGCCCCATAATATTGTCTGCCGAGACAATTCTTTGTTCTTAGTGCTCTTAGCTATGAGCAACGTGTTAAAATGGGCCTGGCCACAAATGTGCTGATAAATCGAAGAGCAACCGGCGAAATTAAGCTCCATATTGCGAATTTTCGAGATGTGCAGAGATTCCTAAGAGTAGGTTGGGGGCCGCTGCTAGTTCTACCCGCACTGAAACATCAACTATGATACATGGAGCCCAAATGCGGTTTGCCAACATGCGCAGCATGTGCAACAACCTTGGTGAGGTCATCCCACCTGCCTTGGAGCAACGTACAGTATTGACAGCTTCGACTATGACCAGACTATCTTCAAAAATTCCCGCTGGTGAGTATCATTGCCTGGCTACCCGATTTCTAGAGCTTTTGCTACGGAATGAAGGTAGGTGGTGTTAGTCTGTACAGGAGGACAGATCTTAAAGCGCAAAATCTCGAGTCGATCAGCTATCCTGGTGCGGTGGTGTTCTGATGGCGGATGCACGACAGTTGCTAACCCCTTACAGTCGGTTCAGTGTACAGAGCCATACCCGGTAAAGGTAACTGTGTCCTGAAATCAACCAAGACCTATGGGATGGACAGGGACTGCCTGTTTCTGGGTGATTAGAATGCATCAGATATTGATTGGGATATGTCTCATTGGAGGCTTTCTCCCACCCCATTCGCTGC